AATTGACTGCCACAGAAAGCAGTTGAAGCCAAAACATTGAATATTTTCAAGAAGGAGTTAGGTATAATTCTTAGGGATAAAGGGATCAAAGGTTTTGGCAGAAAGTGGGAACAAGATACTCAGTTGGATGATAAACCATGATCATATTGAACGGTGGAGTGGACTCGAAAGGTGGAATGGGCTAATCTTGCTCCTATTTTCCATGGTTCTGTGTTTGGAAGGTGCTATCCAAGGAGCTTTGGTGAATTTCTGCATTGCATCTTGTAGATGATACAGGTACTTCTGCTATAATGCATGTTTCATTAAAGCGAATTGGCTGGAGCATGATTGATTACTAGTGGAAGCTGTTTGGGTAACAAACTTTCTGCTGTACAGGTATAGTGATTTTCTATAGCGATTTCCCTGTAACACCATTTTCTATGGCGATTTTCTACAGTGCAATTTTCTATAGCATGAGGTCAGACAAGAACGCAACTATCACGTTACAGGACAACTACCTGTACGCACTGATGCTACTGGATGCATTGCATAAATTGACTATTTGAATGTTGGTACCAATGGAGACAGATGCTATAGCCAATTTCCTCACACGTTAGGACAGGAACAGGAGAGAAACAAATTGGAAAATAAAATGAAAGCAGGCAGTCAACCACAAAATAATGATGAATTGCTGGTCTAAGGGGAAAGACCAGGGGAGTGGATTAATTGGAGAGCACTTTCAAGGATGTAGCATAAGAATGATGGGGCAGATGGCCTCCTTCTGTATCAGTGTATTTTTTTAAGCTCCCTTCAGATGAATCATTACTTGCCTGTGTGAGCAATGTCTTTTCATGCTGGCTTCCTAGACCTATAATTAAGAATACTGCCTCATGGAACATCCTAGCCACAGACTGGTTTTAAACACATTACCACATTATCCATTGAGATTTATGAACACTGCACCACCACAATACATTACTATGTACAATGTGATCTTTAAATGTTTATATCTGTAACAAGCAATCAATATATGTACAATATCAATGCTTTAGTATTGCCATCCAGCATTTTAAATGTATCATTTTCATCTTGATAAGAAATTAAGAGCACGTTGGAATGTTTCTGTGGGAAACTCTTCACTGATCAATGTTTGGTGGGAATGCAACATATTTTATGATATGTTACAGTCTAGGGCAGGGGTTGGTTAACTCAGTTGGTTTGTGATGCAGAATGATACCAAAAACATAGGTTCAATTCCCACACTGGCTAAAGTTATCACAGAGGACTTTGCTTCTCAATCTCTCTCTTCACCTAATATGTCATGACCCTAAGGTTAAGCTCAGCACCCGTCACCTCTTTCGAATGAATAAGCAGTCCTGTGGCCTGGTACAACTTTGGCAACTTTACATTCTAGAGGACCCAACTTCCTGGTTTGAACCCTAACCCCTGGTAAACTGATGCAATGACCCAAAGTGAGTGGGAATCACTTTCTTGTTTCTTTCCCAAAAAGTCATTCTTTGTTCATGATTCTGTATTTGATTTGATTTATTATTGTCACATGTACTGAGATACAGTGAAAAGTATTGTTTTGCATGCTAACCAGACAGATCATACCTTACATAAATACATCAGGGTAATAGAACAGAATGCAGAATATTGTGTTACAGCTGTAGAGAAGCTGCAGAGAGAGATCAACTCTAATATATGGGAGGTCCTTTCATAAGCCTGATAATAGTGGGAAAAAGCTGTTCTTAAATCTGTTGATACGTAGCTTCAAACTTTTGTATCTTCTGCCTGATGGAAGAGGTTATAACTGGGGTGGGAGGGGTCTTTGATTACATTGGCTACTTTCCCAAGGCAGCGGGAATTGTAGATGAGTGAATGGAAGCAAGGCTGGTTTTTGTGATGGACTGGGCTGTGTTCACAATTCTCTGTAAGTTCTTGTTGTCTTGGGCAGAGCAGTTGCCATACCAAGCCGTGATGCATTGAGATAGGATGCTTTCTGAGGTGCATCTATAAAAATTGGGAAGAGAAATTGGTAAATCAGTACTATGGATGTTGGCAGGCTAGTGATAGCCAAAGAATAACGCTGTCCTCAAAAGACTTTTGCAATTGTACAACAATCACCCGACTTCTTACAGCACTTTACAGCCAATGAAGTACATTTGAAGTGTAGTTGCATTGTAAAATGAAGGAAATGTGACAGCCAATTTGTGCTCAGCAAGCTTTCATAAATAGCAATGCGATAGACACAGGAATACCTACGCTGGTCTCCTTTAAAATTATACCATGACATCTTTTATATCCACCTGAAATGGCAGATGAGATGATGCGCATTTGACAGCAATATTTGCTGGGCCATATTTGCATCATCAGGTAGAGGCCTTTCTTAAATTTGGAAAAACTGAAGTCAGTTAACTACTTTCATCAGCATTCCTGCTCACAATACAGGGATTCGACCTGGGAATTCCCAATTTGCATGGGTGATTACTGCATTACTCTGCACACATTCACTGAACTACAGATTTTTTTAAATCATTCATTGTTGATCTGTGAAAGCATTGATCATGATTCAAATGCTAGGATTGAACTTGCCTGTGTCATATGTATTTGACTCAAAAGAATATCCAGCAATTGCATTTACAGATGACATTAAAAGTGTGTGCCAGATTTAGTAACCCAGAAAAGGAAACAGTCTGCAAGTCGAGTTGGCTCAAGTAAGAGAGCTCAATGCTGGCAGATATCCATCAATGGAGACGAATGTGCAGTAGTTTGCAAAAGTAAATAAAAAGATAGAATGTAACACCAGAGGGTGTGACTTAATGATTACCAGGAGGTGGAAAGGAATTGATCATTGATTCCCTCTAATACTTTAGACAGTGTCAGTAGCAAAAGTAATATTCCCCTCAGATTATTTTACCTGAACTATTCATCACAAACTAATAGGAATAAATAAAACATTGGTAACACTTAATAAAAACCGAAAGGACTGTGGATGCTGTAAATCTGGAATAAAAACAGAAGCTGCTGGAAAAGCTCAGCAGGTCTGACAGCATCTGTGAAGAAAACATCAGAGTTAATGTTTCAGGTCCAGTGACCCTTCCTCAGAACAGGAAACACTTGGTAATGCACTTAGTTTGGGGGAACTGTCACCAGTTTTATTCCTTCACATTCTGTGATAGTGGTTTGACACCATTGATCTGTAAAGGTGGAAGTGATGCTTTGGGTTTGTACTCAATGGAAAAATAAGGACTTAGAAGAGATCTGTTCACAATACTTAAGATGTTTAAGATTAGAGATGTCATGTAATAGATTGTATCCTTGAGGTGATGCTTTTGGCTAGAAGAACGAGAGACTATCTAGACTGAATCCCACAGACTGAGCAAGTGATGGATACATTTGTACATCCAAAATCCAAAAGGGAGCTAATTATTGCAAAATGATTATAGAGTAAATGATGAGGGCTGAGTCCTTCAGGTCCTTGAAGAAGATTTTAGATGGCTTTTTGGTAATTATGTTTTCTGATCATCTACCTTTTGATGGAGGACTGCTGAATTGATTGTTCCTTTATCATGTGGTTGGATGTCATATGATGAGTTTGGCTTCCTGACAGAATGTAATGCCCTTACACAACAAATGTATTTCCCTGAGCATCAGAAATGGGAGGTGAGGTAGGGATTGTTGATGAACAGAGGTAAAGTAGCTGAAGGATCAGACTGAGCACTTACAGCTTTTCATGTCTATAAATAAGGAGCAATGATTGCTGATTGATCTGCTTGCTAGTCACTTTTAATCAACTTCTTTGCATGTGCCAGACTTGAACTCAGGCTTCCTGGCCCAGAGGTATGGACACTACCACTGCACCATTAGATCCTTTATTAATCAGCTGGCTGATTACAACACTCAATGTTATAAACTGAAGTCCACCTCAGGATCTGAGAACGTAATCTCTATTTGGCACTTAGTTCTGACAGGCTGGTGATCATTCACTAGTTCAGGCTAGGGACCGAACCTAAGACTTTCAAGACACACACATCAACTCTGGAAAGATGTATGATTTCTAAAAGAGCCCAAAGGAGAAGAAACAGCAACAAAAATCTAAAATGGACAATGCTTACATGTTAGTTACCATCTGATGTGAAAACCTCACTATTGCTTTCCACCTTATGAGGTGTCAACATTCCCCTATGCACTCTAATGTAGACATTTTTCAATCTTGAGAATAATAGAAGGATTTCTCGTTGTGAAGCGTTATTCAGTGCTTCCTGTTGATAAGATCTTTCCATTTTTGCATACAGAGCACTGAGAAGTGATTCATTGTGTGTTATGTGCTTTGAAATGTTTGGAGGTGATTTGATTAGGCATCATATAAATGCTCTTTAATTCAGAACCAGTTATAATACACAAACACTGATTCTGATCAACTCAGAGTACTGACTGGAGATCAAACCTGAGCTCGATCTCTGCTCACCAGGGGGTTTATCCACGTCAACAGCCGACTGTCACAAAATAAAAATTCAATGCCGCAGATTCAGAAATTCTGAATTTGAATAATCCAGAATATGTGGGTTGAAAGGTTTGCTTAACAGGGCTAAGCAGATTCCACTTGAACCCTACTGTAACTTGTTCAATCTGTTCTTTATGCCACAAGAGATTGATGAATTTCTGAGACTACAGTGTGGCCTGTCATACACACAAAGTGTTGGGACAATAATCTGATAGTACATCACTGGATTGGAATTCCCTGTTGCCTGGCAATGCAAAACCTAATTGAAAAAGGGACTTCAGTGCAACTTTGGTTCCATGTTACATAGTTCCAAATATGGAATGAAAGCAGAGTTAAATTATTTCCAAACCAGGAGCTGGCACTGGACAGAGCTCCAAACATCCTCTGGAGTTTTAGGCTCCCTGGATCAGCATAATCTAAATTTGCTTTCACTTCACTCTGAATGTTTGATAGCAGTCGGTGCTGAATGTCAGCTTGATGGTGTCATGCTACGCACAGCACTGATAACTTCATTGGACTAATAAGACTGGAATTGCATGCTTTCGTAGTAAACGATTTGTTCAGCATAGTTACTGAACAGTCCCTAACTATAATGTCATATAATAGTCTGACCTTCGCTGGTATAGACATTTTCTGTAGGTCTTTCATTTATGGGGAAGCCAAATGAAATACTCCCTTTCAATACAGTCATCACAGTGGCATGTGTTCCAGAGTTATTGGGAAGATCGCTTTGCATTTTCACTCTCACTTGAATGAAAAAGTGTAAAAACACCAATTCTTTTAGAGCTCATGTCTCTTTTCCCTTCCTTCACATGCACAGAACTCTTAAACCAGCTGACATAGATTTTAGCAAGTGTAAGTTGAGATTGAGAGCTGGAATTTGACCACTGAGTCAGATAACACGGTTTGATATTTCCCATTTTACCAGATATGTCTTGGTATAAAATATCCCACACTGTGTAATTTTCATTTAGAAAACATGAGGGGAAAAGGGTATGGTGGATGTAAGATGGTGCTGTGCTGCGACTTTGCAAGTGGAGTGTAGTTGATCATGGAACATGTGAAAGTTGAGCTGCGCTGGTTAGAAGGCCCACTTGAGTTCCCAATTGTTTCAGAAGCAAGTTCACCTAGCTCTCACCCCTTACAACTTTCAATCTCCAAACATATGGCAGACCCCTTATACTGTCCATAGCCACTCACCTACTATTCACCACAGGCAGACCTCAGGAACCATGTGGAGAAGAAAAGAAATACTTTCAACTATCTGATACAACTCTTTACTCATACACACTTGACCATGACAAAAAAGACATTAACAGAACACTTTTAAATCTTCTATCAAAACTTATAAATCTCTTCAAGTGTTGCATCTCTTAAAACAACTAATCCTTTAATAGCTTCATTAAACTGCCCATCAAACTGGGAATGTAGAACATCCTAGTGAGATAATTGCAGCTTTTTTGAAACTCAATCATTTACAACGATAGAAATAGTAATGCTTTGATTAAAATATTAGCAAAAACCTCTATTGAAACTGCAGCCTCTGTGGTCACCTATAATCTATATCAGAGATTGATGAGCCTGACTCAATGCAGCCCATACAAAGATCCTGCCATTTAGGACACATTTTCCGAAGGTACCTGTGTTGTGTTGAGAAATTTGCTGACTCCTACTGCCTGATTCAGAACGAAAATCCAGGCCATCGTGTTTTAGTTAAGATGTTAGACTGCCTATTTGCCGTCTCAGGTGTATATAAAAGATCCCACATCATAATTTTCAGAGAAGACCAAATGAGTTATCCCTGTCTCCTGGCCAATGCCTAGCTTTCAAGTAGAGATAATGTGCTCATGAGCAAATTACTGTTTGTGACACCTTGCTGTGTACAAATTGCCTAAATTGCAGCAATGCTATTCTTCATTGGCTGTTATGTTTTAGGATGCCCTGTAGTCATGAAAGATGTTATACAAATGTACGCTTTTGCACCTTCTTGTAATTAAAAACTGTTGTAAAGGGCACAATGACTTGTAAACATGTCCCTTTGTGCTTTCCTAACTTTCAATAAAGTACATCAAGAATGGCAGGTCAGAACATTTTATTTTTGCAGATATAGCCCTTAGTCCTGTATTTATTTGTCGAGCTCCATTTGAGTGAAATTGCAGGATCACAGTGACAGGGATTTGAATTCTAACTGAGTTCATCACATTACGAATTAAAACAGGACTGAAGCTCTGAAGGAGAGTCATATTGGACTCAGAATATTAACTCTGTTTCTCTACAGACTCCGCCAGACCTGCTGAGTTTCTTCAGCACTTCCTGTTTTTATTTCAAATTTCCAGCATCCGCAGTTCTTTGTTTTTGTTTCTCATTCATAAAATCCCTACAGTGTGGAAACAGGCCCTTCAGCCCAACAAACCCACACCGACCCTCAGAGCATCCCACCCAGACCCATCCCCCTATAACCCACCTAATCTACACATCCCTGAACACTATGGGCAATTTAGCATGGCCAATCCACCCAGGCTGCACATCTTTGGACTGTGGGAGGAAACCGGAGCACCCGGAGGAAACCCACGCAGACACGGGGAGAATGTGCAAACCCCACACAGACAGTCACCCAAGGGTGGAATTGAACCCAGGTCCCTGGTGCTGTGAGGCAGCTGTGCCAGCCAATAAGCCACCATGCCGCCCTACTCATGTTCAGAGATGGAATTGTTACACAGAATGTTTTATGTCACCTTTATTTAACTAGAGAATTGTTGCAGTGCAGAAAGAGATCATTTGACTGGCTCTCCAAATGAGCAGTTCTCCCACTGGCATTCGGTGGTAGAGGATGAGCCACTAGTGATTCTTAACAACAAGAAGGAGTTTATTGCAAGATATCAATAGGTTGAAGTTGCATTGGCTATTTAGATACCTTAACCATCAGGAGACATCAATCATCCATCTGTCTCCATGAGGATTTCAACTAGATTTCTTTTCCCTAACCAAGACTTCATGACATTACCAGATTTGATGGAGGTCGATGCAGACTCCCAACATCAACCCTTTAGAACCATTACCTGATACAACAAAGGTCATGTGCTAAGATCTCCAGAAATATATCCAGTCAAATTTGACAACCCAATGAATGATAGAACGTAGGAGGGTTTTGGGGAACTGTCTAGCTGTCAGGTACTGAAGCCACAGTGGTCTTGATATTGGGCATTGAAGAGTCCAGAAGACTAGTTAGATTGGGATGGAGTTCCACGGGGAGGTGTTTGATTCCCTGTCTAGGTTCTCTGTTGTTCAGTGGAGAGAGGATCTGTTAGGTGGAGGAGCCAGCATCCAAGCCTAGAAAGCTCAATGACGGATCATTGCACAATAATCAGGAGAATGGTCTATTATGAACTATCACTCTTATATTTTGTGTAGACACTTGAGTACAGAACAAACATATGGCAAATTTATTGGAAGACATTTGGTATCCAAGGCTCTGCATCTCAACAGGAGCAAAAGCCCTAAAAGGAGGAGGAGTAAAAAAGAACACAGAGGAAAGAAAAACATTATTGGAATCCAAGCTCTTGATCTGCACATTGATATTTACAGTTTCATTTTGCATTTCAATGGATAGATGAAGTGTGCATCTGGCAATATTACAGAGTCTGTAAGATTATCAGCACATCATCATGACCAGGCATCATTGCAGGAAATAGAATAAGTCACATTAATTTAAAAATAACTATTGCAGATTTTTAAAAGGTCACTGAAAAGCTAGCCATGTGACTTAGATTCAGAGGTCGACTTCTTGGTCAATTTGCATGATATCTCTGAGGAATGTGGCTTGATATCAGATTTGTATAATTTTTTATTTTGTTTTTATGAACAGCATTTATCATTTGGCCTTGCATTTCTTCCTTCATTTTTTGAGCAGGAAAATTACTTTACCACCATCAAAGTATAAAGACAACACGGTGTTATCAGTCTGGGTTCTGTTTTGGCTTGTTTGTTAGAACTCAAGTAAAACAAAAGATAAAAGTGATGAGTGGGAGCATGTTGATAGAAAGGATTGACAGACCATTCTTTTGGGTTTAACATCAGTGTGAAGGTTTCAACCCTTCAGAAATGGATTAGCAAACATTATCAGCAAGTTATAAGCAAATACCAGTTCAACTTGTTAAAAGTTAATTTGGAACATTTTAAAATACTGCTATCTGCTTCAAGGAATGCTGACATCTGGATTTTAATTGGAGCTGACTGGGAAGATGCAGGATTTTGCATTTATTCCTTTTTTGACAACCAGGCAGAGAAGATCTCTGGTACTAATGCAGCTGGTGGACTTTTATATACTCACTTGTGTGTAGATACAGATAAAAAGCCTTCCTTTTTGGGCAGGGATTTCTGGACTTTCTCAGGTGCTGAAGCTCAGATTCCTTTTATGCTGAATCCCTGGATACTGCAGTTGATGATGGGCCCAAGTTGCCGATCCTTTCAGTAGATTCCTGCTCTTCACTTACCATCAGTCAATCTCCCAGGCCTGGAGCTTGGTACAACGTCCTCAAGCTACTTATCTGCATCCTCTCCGATATATGGGTATAACAGTAGAGGTTGGAGACTCTTGCAGTGCATCCATCCAGACTGACAAGATTTGACCAGGAATTAATAATACTGGCTGTAAAATATTTCCTGTACTGTTTTTATGTTCTACTGTCCTCCTGTTAGTGAGTAAATAGGTGAAAAAGAAAAAGCATTGCAGTAATCTTGAGCTCGGCTAGCCTGCATTATCACCCTTCTGCTCTCTTATGACCCTATAGCTTGTACAGTTTAATGTGCTTTTTTCAATAGGAACTGTGGTGTTTAAATGTTTACACCGTCCTCTAGTCTGGGTCCATTGCCTTATGATATTTACCATCACAACTGACCAAAATGGAGAAGTTTCATTAGAGAAAGTCTTGAACACATAAAAAGAATTTGTTAGAAGCACGCAGAGATGAAGTTGCAATGTTGGAGGGAATGTGCAACCTTCCAAAACCTCATCTACACCACCCTTCAAGCGGCACCTATCCTGCATTTGGCCAAGTCTGCAGATTGTGCATCGGACTCATCTACTGTCCCAGAACCCATCAAACCAAATAGAAACAAAGCATCCTCCATCATGAGGGACTGCATAAGGAGATGAATGCCATTTGATCTTCATAAGGTGTTCTGAAATGTACTTAAAGTGGCTAAGCAGAATATTCCATCAGGAACCATTGCCCATCCTACAACCCTTTGTATATGGCAGAAAATATAATTGCATCATGCACCCATTATAGCTATGTATGATGAAACCTTATTATGATAACACACTCCAGTTTAAGATCTAAGCTGCTAGTGTATCATTATACAAGAACATAGGAATGGGTTCCTACATCCTTGAAATAACTGCACAGAGGCTGGTATCCCATCACTAAGTCACCATTTATTTACTTGTGCACAGTCTCCTGCCTGTGGCCAGCCTGCTGCAAGTCAGTCCCCTGAACTGAGGGGATTCTAATCTCCTGCTTATATTAAAGCCAGGGCTTTCCTGATTGGCCCAGGTTAACAACCCCAATCAACAACCTCATAGTCAAAGAGGTCAACCTGGTTCTAATCACTACAATCCTACAACCCCATGCTCCAACATTCAATTATATCATGCTTATCTGCAACTCCATTTACTCACCTTCACACCATATCCTTTGATACATGTATCTAACAAAAATACAACAACCTGTTTCTTGGTAAGTTCACTGAGGATTGCATGGTTTACAACTTTGGATGGATAGTCATAAAATGTCAAGTACTTATAAGGCAGTTTCTTGATATCAGAACCTTTCGGGTGGCCTTGACAGCTTTCCCTCGGCCTGTTACCTCCTTCCACATTTGTACTGGGCCAGAATCCATCTTGTTATCTGTCTAAATTTTGTGTTTACACTACTTTTTCTGTCAAAAACCCCTTTCTGTGCCAAAGGTCGGTCTCCCTCCTTTGTGTTGCTTCAGCCACTTTCTGATGTCTGAAGCTGCAAGCAATGTAAGTCAGTTTATTGATATACTACAAAAATAAACATCTGATGAGTACGTCTACTGAGTATAAATATCTAGACATGAAGAATCAGAGGTGCTAGAGTTAAACTAGCTCACGTTCCTTGCTATATGTCATGCGTGCAAATGCGGCCATTTAAATGGCAATTGGAATCCTTTAAGTTCCAAATATTCGCCTTGCACATTCAGCTATGGCACCAATCTCCATGCCATTTCTTCCTGGTGCCATATAGTCACAAATTTTCTGGCTTAAATTTCAATGATTAAGCAATGATCTCAAGATGCTCTTGGAAGAAGGATTGATTGATTTCATTGCCCCTTCTGCTGAAGAGCTCTTGATGCTGAAGACCAAACAAGAAGGTGAACAGATGCAGTTTATTCTGTCAAGAAAAGATGAGACCATTATGGCTTTCCACAGTGTATAAAGACAAGGATAACTTATGTTGCCACTGGTGAGCCTACTGAAAGTGAAACCTTTTACCCAATGTAGTTGATATTAATATCTGTGCTTCCAAAATGGCATCAAATCTCTGATGTAGATTTCACACTTCTCCTAAAATTAGAGTTTACACCCCTCTTAATTTAGTACCCTCCAATTAAAATGACAATTCCATGCAAGTTGCACTAAAAAAATGCCTCCCTATAATTTTATTACAGTTGTTGA